CCGCCATCCCGTCCCCACCGCCATCCCGTCCCCACCGCCATCCCGTCCCCGGCCCACCGCCATGCCCACCGCCATGAGCCCTGCGGCGCCCACCGCGCAGGAGGCGCTGGAGGTGGCGGGCCGCCTCATCGACCAGCAGATCCAGGATGACCGTTGCTACCCGGACCTGTCCGAGCTGCTGGCCGTGCCGGCGCCTGGTAAGTACCCCCTCGGTACCCTTCCGCCTCCCGTCGCCTCAGCCGCCCCCTTGCCCCCGCCGCACCGCCACCCCCCTGGGCGAGGACCACGCGTGAGGCCTTCAGCGGGGGCACGACCCCCTCCCTCTGGCGGCCGCCGCCCTAGGCAGGCCCTGGAGACGGCGGTTGCTGGCTCTGCCTTCCTAGGGAAGGCGACGGGGCTGAGCCTGACGACTTCTCAGGCCTGGCAAGGGGGGTGGGGGCCGTGTAGCGGACGCTGTGTTGTGTGGGTGAAAGTTGTGGATGAGGGATTTCTCCGTGACAGGGAGTGCTGCAGGAGGAATGGGTTTGGTTTGGCTCCTCGGGGCCATTGGTCTCCAGAAGGTGAAGAAAATGGCACTTGTTTTCCATTTTGCCTTTTGGAAGTCTCTTGCAGAATGGTCTTGGGGTCACTTAAGTGCCCAGCACCATCCCTAAGTTACAGACAGCCTGAAAATCTCTTTAAAGCTGCAATGACTGACTTTCATTTGTCTGTAACTGTGTATCACACGTAGTTACAATTTAAGGTATGCATCTCAAACTTTTGTTCTGTTCTCCTTAAAACATGAAGAGAGAGTTTCCTACGTCACTGGTGCCAACTGTCTGGAAAAGGGCACTGTGAAGAAACACTGTAGAGCTGTAGGTGACTGAATTAGTATAAATCCAGCAGCGTCAAGGTGCAAGGAAAGAGTTATCTGTTTTCTGTTAACATCACAATGTGATGTACGTAGCTAGAAGTTTAACTGCCTTAGCAGTGTCACAGATAGGCATTACATAAAGTAATCAGTTTATATTGGTATTTTAACTTGATACTGGGAGCACAGAGCAGCTTTTCTAGGTGAAGGCATACGCTCCTGGCTTGTTCACATGGCATATTTAGTGTCTGGCCATACAATGAAAGGGTTGGAGAGTACAATAGTAAAAGTGCAGTAAGGTTGGGTCCAAATGAGTTATTGTTAGAGTTTGTTTGCAAATCTGTTTGCTCATGTCTGATTTGAGCCTTAAATTTATTGTCTGTGGTTCTGTTTCTACAGAAACGTCTGTTCACCTATATCTTGTGACTGGTGGTATTTATATGCTTAAAGTCTCTGTAGTATCAAGGATTTTTTTCGACATAGTTTGAAGGCCAGTATTCATCTAAAATAAAACGGGAAATGCAATTAGTTTAATTTAGATTTCACGGACTAGGAAACAATCAGATAAAGACAAAGAAAGAGAATATAAACTTTTTTGTAAATTTCTCATTCTTTATAAGAACTCTAATCTTTTTTGTTGTTTTTCTTTTAATTGCAGGTAACCCTACTGTTTCTGGTATGTCAGATATGGATTATCCTTTGCAAGGACCGGGTTTGCTGTCGATACCTAATCTTCCAGAGATCAGTTCAGTCCGCAGAGTCCCACTTCCCCCGGAGCTAGTGGAGCAATTTGGACGTATCCTTATGACAACTGATGTGTTACATTGTATAAGTCATAATATCAGAAACAAACTTTTTTCTTTCATAGTGTTCTTCCCCAGTCTTTCTGTCAGATTACCAGTAATGAGCTATGGTATTGTCCTATGTTCCCTTCATAAGGCTCCAAGTGATAACAAGTTCCATTTGTGTGGAGTTGCTGGTGGAATTAGTTTCTGTATGAAGAACTTTGAATGTTTATGGTACATAGTTTGTATACTACTATATATAAAGTAATACTAATTTTTTAAAAATTCTTCAGAGGAGATTTTGCCTTTGCTAGGCAAAGTGCATTTAGTCCTTACATCAGCGGTGCTTCAGATATGCAGTGCAATTGTATGATGGGAGTATTTCCAGAAATCAGCAGAGCGTGGCTGACCATTGACAGTGACATTTTTATATGGAACTATGAAGATGGGTATGTAGAGAACACATTCCTGATGATACCTTGTTAGTATTATACTGGAATTAAGCTATCACAGTAGTGGAAGATTATTTACCAGTAGCACTGAGGTGTGCTATTCTGTTTAACTTATCTTGATTTGGTTTAGGTTTTACTAAAACTTTTGAATAATAAGTGCTTAAGGATTTTTAAGAGTTAGTAGTATTGCTGCCGAATCCAGAGATGAAAGAAAGGGAATTGGTTTTGCTTAGGGTTGGATATATCCAACGTTTTTGCTGAATTTATGCTAGGGTTTTGCTTATGCCAAAAAAACTAGAAAAATTATTCCTATTGCCTAACTTTTTAAAGTAGATTTAGTAAGTACCTCTGATACATGTACAGTGTCTGGTCATTCCCATAATGGTAAGTAATCAGCATTAGTACTGTGAAGTATTGTGATTGAAACTCTCCTGTCTAGCTTATTTTAAGAATGCACAAAACTGAAAATAATTTCATTGTATTTTCAAAAGGCAGTGACGTGTTTCTAATCTTCAGGTTTGCTTCTTTGTTTGCTTATATATTAAGAATTCTTTCAGTAAGAATTGCTTTGTATATTTGTTGCATTTCCTAAAAAGATTAAAGTTCAGATTGTGGCTCACATAGCTCCTGTCCATACTTTTACATTGTCTCACATTGTATTAAAAACATTTCCCAAATAAAACAACAGTACATGTTGTTAATCATAAGG